TTTATTGTTAGATTAGAGACACAGATATTACTCTTCTTTTGGCATTTCGACTTTATTTGGATCAATGATGAGAGAGAGAGAGAGAGAGAGAGAGAGAGAGAGAGACGAATCATTGGGAAGTGATGGGAGTGAATGTCGCCAATAATTATATAGATTGCAACTCAACTGAACGAACAAATTCTGTGTCAAAGAATATTTAGTGAATGCAATACACATCTAAAAGACTCACTGATTTGATGGACAGTCACACCGATATACTGTTCCCGGAGACCGGACTTAACCTTACAGTCGAGTGTATTGTATTGACTGAAAGGAAAGTCATGTACTGTAAAACCAATAGTCGGATCAAACGAAAGCAAATCGTTGGACATTTGGACAAAATTTTCAATTTTCGAGTCATACGAGTCGAGAGTAACCGTTAGGTTAGAGCTGGTGGGCCGACACGGAATGGCCAGGTGTGTGCTGTTTTCCAGCGCCGGCACGATTATAAACTCGTCGCTACCGTCTATCGGCACAATCAGATTATTGGGATCTATGGGTTAAATATTGTATTAGGCATTTATTTGTGAATTTTATATATTTTTATGTTTATTTATACAGAAAATTTTTTAATACCACTTTAATAAAAAAATATTTGTTCAAATAATATCCTTTTTGAATTAAATTCAGACATAAATTCCAGTTTATTTCTAACAAGAGTTATGGTATTTATATTGAAAATAATCTCAAACAATAAGAAACAAACAAATATCTTAAATATTTGTGCATTTATAAGACATTTTTGTTGACCAAAAAGTAAAAAACATAACATAACATTTTAAACATACATTTTGTACCTTTTATTGAATGGTAAAAACAAAACTGAAAAAGGCTTACCGTTAACGAAGACATAGATTGAATCAAATGTGTGTTTGGATGTATTGTAATGACAGGAATAGTTCCCCGTTTGCCAGAATTGCATGTCTTTTATTGTTAGATTAGAGACACAGATATTACTCTTCTTTTGGCATTTCGACTTTATTTGGATCAATGATGAGAGAGAAGACATCAATTCCTATGATATATCATTATATCAATCATTAACCAAATTAAATGATAAATATTTATTCAAAATTAATATTTAAAAACTAATTATAAATAAAGTTTCACTCCACAAGTCTTAGCGTAATTAATTTAATTAAGAAATTCATAACTATTAATAACTAATTCAATAATATTTCAAATATGCCCGCAATTTGTGTGCAAACATTTCCCGACTGTTACAATAATAGTTAATAAATTATTTATAAGAAATATTAATTAAGAAAGAAATAATTGATTACAGGATCGTTGTCGGGAAAGGACCAGTGGATGGGTTGGGTTGCCTCGCATTTCAGCCGTAAAGTACTGTTGGCTTTAATGTCAACAATTGTTTTGTCGTTCAGTTGAATGGCAGGCGTTTGACGTGATATGACATTTAATTTGGGTTTGCAATGGATTTGATGCAAACAATTGATGGTAATTATCAATACAATGATTGCTATATATGTGTTGCTTTTCGATTCAGGTAAACATCTCAAAGGCATTGTGTGTTTATACTAATCAAACAAATTAATTAAACGCCTTAAATATTTATGAATTTATTAAATAATAGTAATTATGATTTGTTTAATCTTTACACCGACTAAAAGGGCACTAAATATTTTGGTTTCCTTTGCATTAAACAAGAGTTATATTAAATGTCAAAAACAAACGGAAGGAATTGGAAAACAGTTTTAATATTTAAATAAAGTTTTTTTACTGTCGGTTAAAATATAGATATAATTTGTCAATTAGTATAACGTCAAATGTTATGTAATAAATAATAGTGATAATCATTTTACAAAACTAAACACGTAAAAAAGTTTATTAAGATAAAAATTATATCAGTATACTGTATAAACAATTACAATCACGTATACAGCAAAATACACGTTAATTCTGGTATTGATTACAATGAAATCAAATTTTTTGTCATTTATAAAATATTAAATAATATCAAAAACAACAACAAAACAATTATAACAACTATTAAATTAAATAAATTATAAAATAATAATATTAATTATTATTACACCGATCGATTTGGACATCGAAAGGTGGTGTCCATCCGCCCAACTCTTTCTCAAGGAGTTCGGCCACACCTATCGTCAGGTGATCTTTGGACGGCATCGACACCACCTGAAGACCTACAGGGAGTCCATCGCTGGTCAGTCCAATTGGCACTTGAGTTACCGGATGGCCGGTTATGTTGAATATCATAGTATAGCCGACATTATTTGACTTAAGTAGTGTCCCGTTGTGTTTGGGCGCCGACTCGGGTAGTGTCGGGTACAGGAGTATACCGTTTTCGCCTAAAAATAAAACATCATTTGTTACACTAATGGACACAATGTACGCAAACAATGACTAAAACAATACCTAAAAGTTTATTGATTTCTCGCCTCAATTCGTCGCCCTTTGCGACGAGTTTTTGAAACTTATTTGAGTCGCGATTTTTACGCGGATTCAGGAAATTATATAAAATCACATTAATTGATGTACTGATCCGATACCGGGATTGGCCGACAAACCATTTGCTCAACTCTGACCACCCGTTCACACGACCGGTGCGTTCGGTCAGCTCTTCGGACAGATAGGGGGCCTCAACGTTGGCCAAAGTGCATAACCAGATCCACAGCGAGCTCTTCATCTGAGACAAAAACACTCGCTCTGACGGGCGGCCAGTCTTCTCGTCCAACAGTCGCACCACTCGACGCATCGCTCGCTTGATCTCCGGCGAGACCGATGTCTTGAGCGGATCGCCATCCGCTTCCATGTAATAGACTTTGAGTTGAGTTAAGTCCAACTCTTTGTCGATGTCGGGGATGTGTTGTTTGCCGGCGCAGGCCTTCAGCATCGGCCTCAGGTCCGACGCGTACCGACACAACGGCCCGATCTGGAGGTACTTCTCGCGGTCCGGATGTCCCACATCGGGGAACACCTGTTGCGGGCCGACGGGCACGATATCGGTGGTGGGTTTGTGACCAAAAATGCCGCAAAAATGTGCCGGAATACGTATGGATCCGCCCAGATCTGTGCCCACACCCATCAAACTGCCGGCGGCGGCGATAAGGGCCGCCTCACCGCCAGAACTGCCGCCCGATATGCGGGACTTGTCGTACGGATTGTTGGTTCGGCCGTAGATCTTGTTATACGAGTCCCACCACAACAGGAATTCCGGTATATTTGTCACCCCTTAAGCATATATTAGATTAAATTAAAAATCTATGTTATAATTAGTTTGTCAATTGTGTGGCTTTAGGTGTATTGGGGGTCAATGGGATGGGTGGCCGTGGAGTGGGACTGTGTATCCAATACATGCCTATAGGTATAGCGCCGGCGTCTCTAATATTTTGTATAACTCGGGAGTCGTCCGAGGCTTTGGTGCCCTTCCGTGAGTACAGACCGGCCGTAAAATACATATCCTTAACGGCAATACACTCTTTGACAGAGAAGGGAACGCCCAGTAATGGCATCGAGTGAATGGATTGGCCATCACTGGCCGCCTGTCCGGCCAACTCTCGGGCCACCCGACTGTCCACGCGATTGGCCTCCTCTATGGCCGCTGCGAACCGATCGCATATCAGGGCATTAATCAATGGATTGACGGCTTTGATCCGATCGATGTATGCTTTCACCAAATCCTCGCTTTTAAGCTAAAAATATTTACATTATTCATTTACATTACAATGAAATTACAATTGAATGAAAATATTATTGTTTGAAATAGTTTTTGTGTTCATAAATAAACAAATAATGAGTTATGTGTTGTATTTCATGCAATTTCTTGGTAAATGTTATTGCACTGAATTCCGGTCTAATTCTTAACATTATTAATAATCATTTATTATATCTTATATTATTTACATTGGATTTGAAACAATAAAAACATTATACATACAGTATTATTACAATTATCTAAAATAACAAAGTAACTTAACTTAATAACTAATTAATAATTAGATATTTATAAGTTTTTATTCACAACACTCATGAATATTTTGAAATTATTAATATTTTATTTATTTTATCTTAAACAGTAAAAGAGCATTTTCAATAACTAAATAAATTAGCAGGATTAAATTGAGTTGCATTATAATAGAGAACTTGTAATAAAATGGGAAATAACATATTGTCCTTCATGCAATTCCAGTAAATATTTAAATAACATGTTTATTTATCATTTTGTTTCGTTTTTATTAAGTTGTTTTGCTTTTCATTAATGGTCTGAAGTAGTGTTCACTGCTTTTAGTACACGTGAATGAAAGGCCATTAAATTGGTATTAGTTTTGATAAACATATAAAAAGTGCTAATTATTTGAACGCATATTCCGTTATAATATCTATTTGTTTGAAAAATAGATATATCGTATCGAACCAAAAATCCGTTATTTTTAAAAAGTAGATTTTCTAAACTAAATTAAACGGGAATTTTAAAATTGTTGTTTTAATTTGAAATACTGTTTATTGGTCTACAAAACAGTGCCATTCATTTGTTTGTATGTCTTGTGGTTCGGGAGTAATTCTCACCCGATGACTCAACGCTTAATTTAAATCTATTATCAAAAATTTTTACTTCAAATTCTACGCAAAACACATCATTCATTTTGACAAATAATTAATTTTAAGATCTCTCTCTCTCTCTCTCTCTCTCATCTATCTATCTCTAGAGGAATAAGAATGATGATAAAAATAATGATTATAACTGTTTTGTTGTGTGACATAACTTTTTATAGGCTAATAATAAGAATAAATATTATTTTATATTGTTTTTGGACTAATTTGGGGAATATTATAATATTATTTGAAATATTCCTATATTTTTAATAAGGTTTTGGTTATTTACTAACTATACTTGTTTAAATATTTGTGTTAATTAACACATTTTAGTTTAACATAACTTAATACTGAGAGAGAGAGAGAGAGAGAGAGAGAGAGATCTTAAAATTAATTATTTGTCAAAATGAATGATGTGTTTTGCGTAGAATTTGAAGTAAAAATTTTTGATAATAGATTTAAATTAAGCGTTGAGTCAAACATACTGTGCGTAAAGTGTGTGAAAATTAATTGATTTACACTTTTTCTCGCTTATAAATTATAATAAAAGAGAGTCTTAAGCTATGTTTTGACGATAAGTCAAGTGATGTGTAGAGCAATGTCAGAGAGAGAGAG